TAACAGTCCATGCAATAGACTGTATAGAAAGATAGACAAACAGGATTATTATTCTGATGTAGACACATTCACACTTGGAATTAGAAAGAGACTTTTAATTTATTTTATGCTTAAACCTAGAAGAATATGAAGATAAAGATGACAAAACAACAAAAAACAGACAGATATATTACTAATCTGATGAGCTATCCATTGCCTATAAAAACCTTTAATATCTATATTTATATTTTAGAGAGAGTCTGTCTGTCTGTGTGCCTGTTCGCAAGTCCATTTATTCAAGAATGCCTCCTAAATCGAAAGAGCTAGGACTGCCAAATTTGCCACCTTCTTCTTCTCCTAACTTAAAGCAAGATAACAGTTTGTTTGTGCCAAGAGAACTGGAAACCTCAGGAAAAGAACGGTTTTCAATAGCATGCAAAGGGAAGGGCTGCTGTTTGATATGAGAGTCCACTGGGGGCAGCAAGACAGCAGGGGACAGCTACCCTGCAGTGTCCACTGGGGCAGCAGTACCACCAAGAAGAGTGGCCATCAAGGCTGGGGCACCTCCATCTTTCCTGCCAGCACACTTGTAAGTAGCCTCCCACACTACACCCTTTCCCCCCTTCCCAGCCCTTGGTCACAGCATTGGAGGGGGGAAGAGAACAGGACCCTGGTTTCTGAGGGAGTCTGGTGGGGGAGAGAGTAGGCCTTGGGTGAGTTGGGGGTAGCCTAATGGGGGAAGAGAATAGTCCCCAGGCAGGCTGGGAGGTGGATGGGGAGGGGGAGAGAACAATTCCCTGGACCACAGCCTCCTGCTCCCCCCCCCCCCCCCCCCCCAAACCCCAATGTGCTAGTTCAAAATATAATCTCTCAATCTCTGTGGGTGCGTGAGTCTATACAGCAACAACCTTTCTCAATGGCATTTTGTAAAGTTATGCAAAAATCACCATTTTTTCACTATGAATTTTTTTACAGGCAGAAACTCAAAACACAATTGGAAAACTTCAACTGCCACTGGGAAAATTGCCAAAGCCTTGGCCCTGCAGTCTTTATGAAGAAAGTTTTTGGGGAAGTTTTTTTCCACTCAGGGTAGAGGAGCTTGTGTCACTTCTTGAATTCTGCCATGGAATTCTGTTCCTTAGAAAGATAAGAAAGAAGTGGTTCCATCTTCAGCATAATTGCCTCTTAAAAAGCCACATGAAAGTTGTGTCTCACATCTTTGCCAGGGCAACCTTTTAGTGGGGACCTCCACAGGTCTTTTCCCAGTTTTGTTTGCTCTGATACACAGTGCACTTGGAAAACACTTTGCAGGAGCAGAGAAAATGAAAGGCAAGGAAGTACCAAGGGAATGGAAGATGAATCCTGGTGAAAGAAAGGCCATGGGCAATTGAAGGCATGTTGGTGAGGGGACCAAAAGTTGGGAGGAAGAGTGGCAAAGGGCAGCAATATTGATTAGGGAACTCATAAAAAACCCAAAGCTGAAGGTTAAGGAAACAGACATTGTGAGGAGAATCCAGGTGAGAGGATATTTTCAGGTAAACTGTTGACAGCTTAGTAGGCAGTCATAGGACCATGAATTTGTCATCAAGATGCAGAGGGAGGGATTTGTGGATATGAAGGGAGACAGGATCCTATTTTAAAGTTCATAAGCTTCAGAGGGGTAGTTGAGTTAGTCTGTAACTGGACAAACTTTTAAAAACAGCGAATAGTTTAGCAGCACCTTAAATATTAACAAAACATGTAGATGGCATCATGAGCTTTTATGGGCACAACCCACTTCTTCAGATGAATGGTGTTATTAAAGATCCAGTTTCTAAATAAATAGCGGATGGGGGGGGGGAAGGGAAGGAAAGAAGGAAAAAGAAGGGGTGGGAGGAGAAAAAAATTGTTATTTAGAGTGTCTGTCTATGCTACATGAAGCTGATAGAGAAGGCGTAAATTGTTCTTAGGCACTTAAAAGCAATTCACACCTTCTCTATCAGCTTCATGTAGCATGGACACTCAAATTGACAATTTCTTTCCCCTTTATTTCCTTCTCCTTTCCCCCCATTTCCTAATTATTAAAGGTCCAGTTTCTAAATAACTCCATTCATCTGAAGAAGTGATTTGTGCCCATGAAAGCTCATGATGCCATCTACATGTTTTGTCAATATTTAAGGTGCTGCAAGACTATTCATTGTGTTTTAAGTTTTTAAGATTCATAGTTATGTTGTGTGGAGTCTGGAGCACATTACTGGATAGCCTTGGTGAGATTGTCCAGAGTCACATTAAACTGGGCTATTTTGTGGTTCTGGGAGCTCACTGTGAGTCAGAGCCAATCAAGACATCATCAGAATACCTGTGGGGAGGGAAGGTTATAATAATCACCTTTTCTGGGTGATGAAAAGATCTCAGTTTGCCAGGTACTTGTGGGATTGAGGGCGGGACAGACTCCTACAGGGAGATATGGGAGAACATGTCATTGGTTGAGATTTGGGGGTAAAACCGTGGATATTAGGAGCCCATTAGGGTGTGGTTGAGAAAAAGGAAAAGGGGGTCTGGAAACTGCAAGAGCAAATGGGGAAGGAGGGAAGTTCTTGAAAGAGATGGTCTTGAGTTACTAGGATATTTCTAAGTGAAAGCCATAGGCAACTGAGTTCATGGGCATCCTCCAAAAGGTGACTATAAATTTTATGGACAAGTAAGCAGAAATTGGAATTAAACTCATTGTTCTTTAAAACAAGTGATATTCTGTTGTTCAATAATGCTTTGTGCCCTCCCTTGGGCATGCTATTCATCTGAGGACCAATCTCTCCATCTGGATTATATAAGGCGTTGATTAATCTCACACTTCCCAGATATGCCAATAGCTACAGCATTAGAAGAGGGGTCCGTTCACTGTAATACAAGTCACATTAGACAACAATAGGTGATTCTGTTTTACTGTAAGTATCACTGATTCATAAACATAGTATTATAATTATATTTTATTCCAGATAAAAGAAATACAGTATCATTGTGTGTGTGCTTGTTCAGAAAATAACTTTCTGGTTGCAATCTTAGTGATTTCAAAAAATGAAATAAAATAAAAGGAAAATACATATTTAACTACTTCTGTCTTAATGTAGCTTTTGAAGAACATAACTAGTATGTGTGTTTAAAAATCATGTTGGTTAGTTATCTGATTCAGTAAAATATTCTTGAAAAATTCTTATCTATAAACATGTATCCTATTTTTATTATGTTTAATTTTCCTGTTGAATACAGAGTTACATTGTAATAACATGGGAGAAAAGTAGTGGCAGTATTTTAGAAATCTGTTAATTGTTATAACTGGTTAGTTGAATGTGGAATTTTCAGTCATATAATGGACCTTTTGCATTTTTTCATCTGCAGTATGAAGTAGCTCTTTTTGTAAGAAAAGATTGTTTCTCCAAAAGAAACAAACACATTTTTACTTGGTCTCACAATAAAAATAATTATTTTCATTTCTGATTGAAATGTCTCAAATTAATTCAAGGGAAACATCACTGCCACCATTATCTAAGGTCAGCTGTAAAAACCTGTTAACCTATATCCCAGGTTGTAGAGACTCAGACTCAAAATACATCTATGACAGAACTTTTACGCAATATCCCTTTTGGGATGACTTTGTAACATTTCCTTCATTTATTGTAACCGGGAAATAAATAAAGGGAAAACTATTCCATAAAAGTTGGAAACTAAATCATCAAAAAAAACCTGGCCTTTTTTTCATTTGAAAGTCAGAAACTCTCCAGTGCATTCATTAAAATGTGTTTTTCTTTCCCCCCTACCTTACTCTCTTATTATTTTTCAGATAGAATCTAAAGAGCCTGGATCCCATGTTAAAAGCTGAGCCCTTTATTGGGATCGTGGAAGATCAAGGGAACGTGCTGACAGCTAGGGAGGAGGAAATGAGCTCTGTCCAGAAGCCCAATGCTAATGAAGTGGTGTCCACACCACTGTGCTATGAAATGAATGGTTCCTGCCCCAGAACTCTTTACTCCTTTGGGGTCCAGCTGGCCATCTACATGGCCTGTGTGGTGGGCATGTTGCTCACAGTTCTGGGGAACCTGATGGTGGTGATTGCGGTCTCCCACTTCAAAACCCTGCATACCCCAACCAACTTCTTACTACTCTCTCTGGCCCTTGCAGATCTCCTTCTAGGGGTGACAGTGCTGCCCTTCAGCACTATCCGATCTGTGGAGAGCTGCTGGTATTTTGGAGATGACTTTTGCAAGCTGCATACCTTCCTGGACACAGTCTTCTGTTTGACCTCTATATTTCATCTGTGTTTTATTTCCATTGATCGCCACTATGCTATCTGCAATCCTCTGCTCTACACCACTAAGTTTACCACACGGGTGGCTTGTGTCTATATAGTTATAGGGTGGGGGGTCCCCATGGTTTATACATTTGTCTTCCTGTATACCAATGTGCTTGAAAAAAACTTGGGCCATTTCTTACAAGACATGCCCTGCATTGGTCAATGTCAGCTGTTGTTCAACAGACTCTGGGGCTGGTTGAACTTCCCTCTGTTCTTCATCCCCTGCCTCATAATGATAACTTTGTATGTGAAAATATTCATTGTGGCAAACAGACAAGCTAGACAGATAAGCAACATGAATGCAAGTACTGGATTTGGGCTGCACGCAGGAGCATCAAAGAGGGAAAGAAAGGCAGCTAAAACTCTTGGTATTGCTGTAGGAATCTACCTTCTGTGCTGGCTGCCTTTTACTATAGACACCATGGTAGATTGTCTTCTAGATTTCATTACCCCACCAGTTCTCTTTGATGTCCTTATCTGGTTTGCTTACTTTAATTCAGCCTGCAATCCTTTGATTTATGTGTTTTCCTACCGCTGGTTCAGGAAGGCAGTGAAAATACTTTTAACTCGCAACATCTTTGGTTCTGGGACATCTACTGTAGACTTATATCAGGACTAATTGGAGGATTTAGATAATATTGAATGTAAAAATAGCTCACAATCACAACCATGGTCCCCAGGAGAAGAACCTTTTATTTTAGGTATATGTTAAAATGACAAGTAACGAGATGAGATACTTAAAATATGACAAGAAATAAAAACTCTGGGAAATCATATTGGTTTGCCCTAAGGAAGGGTGGAGTTTTCAAAGAAATCAGTAGTATTAGGAGATTCAGTTCTTATTATGGTACTTTTATTTAGGAAGTTTGAAAATCTCAACCAAAATCCTGAGCGACAACAGAAAAATATTGAACTATAAAACATCAAAGTATTTCTCATAATTATTTTCGGAACATTCAGTGAGCTGAAAGTATTCAACGTAACCTCCATGTTTCTGAAAGAAGTTACATCAGGTAGTTTCCCCTAATTTGACAAGACATACTTGCCTTTCACCTTTCAGAACAATTATCTTTGTAAACAAATAGTCAGAGCTTTATGGTGTTGGTAAACCTTTAAAACACCAATATTACCTGTTTGTGAAGAATAATATAATCACCTTACTGTGAGGATATCAGTCTGGTTATAAAGCTGAATGGTTTTTGCCTGCCTTCTTCCCTGAATGAAAAAATGCTGTTTGATTAAAAGGAAAGGTAAATTATTTATTCTTCTCCGATCGCCAAATTAATCATAATTTTCCTGTATGCCATGCCCTATACAATCAGCAGTATATTTTAAAGAAAAAACTTGATAGTGTACAGATTACCTTGGAATCATACATAATTTTCATGCTCTTAAGCAAAATGTTAGGCCCTGATTTAGCAAGGTACTTGAGCTCATGCCTAATTTTAAGCACAGTTAGTTCCAAAAAAGTCAATGATTCAGTTTTCATGCTTACAGTTAGGTTTATGCTTATGTACCTTGATGAATGGGGTATCAGTCTAAACTCTCAGGTTCTTTCTGGCTATGATTATATGCTTTTACAGTGTAAATGGTAATAAAAAGTGTAAAAAAAATGTGAGAAATAAGGTGTCCTGCAAGTTCTGTGAGACTACTTTCTAACCAGACCAATGGGAATTATATTGCCACCTCTCTAGGCTCCTGTGAATGTACTTATGAGAGAATGCTTTTTAAAAACTTCTGAATAGAGTAATATAAAATTACTCTAATAATTCATACAATTAATGAACAACTAAATAATTAGTTAAGAATCTTTTCTACTTGTTTTATTTTGTTTATTTAGTTGTATATAAATTCAATATTAGATATGAAAACTGGCTTGTGTCGTGTTTATTTATAAATAATTTCACATCCTAGTCAGAGTTTACATATTTTTTGCATCACAAAATAAAGAACAAAGTGTGGTGAATGACTGCACAGTTACTGTTAATGAATAGATTGCATATATTAACTTTAATATAACCTTTGTGAGCCTAATCTAAAACCCACAGAAGTCAGTAGGAGGCTTTTCATTGACATCACTAGACTTTAAATGAGGGCTTATGGGTAAAAATATGTTAAAAGGTGCTCCTATTAGAAAGTGTTATATATAAAATCAGCACAATAGAGAGTATGAACTGAATTACTTAGTTGTGTGCATTTGTATTATAATCAGCATATTTAACAAACCAAAGCTAAATAGCATAGAGCTTTGCTCTCAACAGTTTCTTACTTTTGATCTGAGGAAGTGGGTCTGGCCCACGAAAGCTCATCATCTAATAAACCATCTTGTTAGTCTTTAAAGTGCTACATTGTCCTGCATTTTGCTTCAGCTACCCCAGACTAACACGGCTACATTTCTATCAGTTTCTTACTGACAACCTTTTTACATAACAAGAATATTATGGAATACTTTGTCTAAGGACCTTTCCAGTCAAGGTACAAAGGGGGTACATCTTTGTGCTGTAGCAGTAAGCATGTTCCACTATTGGAATCTTTCATACTGCATGTCTTTGTATTAATCTAAAAAGTCAACAATCTCTGTCCAAAATTCAGGAAAACAGTTTCACAACAGTCCTGAAGCACCTGATAGTGGGCTGTCCTAAATAGAGATATACTGAAAAGTATGCTAAAGTGTTTTCCTCGGTTAGTGCATCTATGGGTAAGTCTAAACTACAGAGCTTTTCCAGGATACCTACAGAGCTTTTTACTGAGATACCAGAATCTAAGGAACACATCAGCTTTAAAAAAAAAAAATCGGAAAAGCAGACGTGTTTTTTTGTCATCCCTGTAAACCTCGTTCTACGAGGCGGAAGGGATGTTCTGAAAAAGGGTTTTTTCTGACATTTGGCCCCATGTAGACAGGCCAAACGTTGGAAAGGCCTTGCATTTCTTTTTCCGACTTTACTTTGTAGTGTAGATATAAGCCAAGATACCCACTACTTCTATTGAGTGTTGCATTCCGCCTCATTTCATTCAATCACCATCCGTTTGTTCCCTCAGTTTTAGTCTGGAAACTGCTGCAGCATTAGAATAGCCCACTGTAATTCCAGGGGGAAAAAAAAGAAAAACTAACAAGTATCCCATCCAGACACCAGGAATCACAGTTAACTGGCTTCAGAGGGAATTGAATAAACCTTACGCTTTTACCTCAGCAACAGAGAAAAATCATATCATGGGGTCATCTGGGCAATGGCATCAACTTCTCCAGATTCCCCATTAGAAGAAGTCCTGATAGTCTATCAAATCCGAGTGCAGTATACAAGCTGCTGCGCTAGATTGAGCCTTTGTGTTGCCTTGGGCAGCAACCAAGGATTCCACCCTTGTCTTCCTGTCCATTACATCCATCAGTAGAAAATAAAAACATTGTCCCAAACTAGTGGAGAAAGTTACTTACAATTTCTTACAGGCACTGTCCTATTGCAACCTGGGTCTCTGCCAGCTCTTTAAATAGCTCCCTGCTGGCTTTTGCAGCAGCTCAGCCAGCTCTTGCCAGAGCTGTGCACTAGGGGTGCATCTGCTTACTTTCACCTCTGTCCCCCTCACACACCTGCAAGTTGCCAATAGAGTGAATATCAAACTTAGCAAGCAGGCAAAACTTCAAATAAGCAAAAGAATGCAGTGGACATGGGCTGTGTCTAGAACTGGCATGATTTTGCGCAAAAGTGGCCGCTTTTGTTCAAAATCTTGCCACCTGTCTACACTGGCTGCGAGTATTTCTGCAAGAACACTGACTTTGTAATGTACAAAATCAGTGATTCTTGCGCAAATATTCTGAGGCTCCCGCTCAGGGATAAGCCCTCTTGCGCAAGTATTCTTGTGCAAGAGGGCCAATGAAGACAGCCACGTTAATTTCTTGCTCAAGAAAGCCCGATGGCTAAAATTGCCATCGGAGCTTTCTTGCGCAAAAGAGCATTTACACTGGCACGGATGCTTTTGCGCAAAAGCAAATCTTTTGCGCAGAGGCACATGCCAGTATAGACGCTCTCTTGCACAAATACTTTTAACAGAAAAACTTTTCCGTTAAAAGTATTTGCGCAAAATCATGCCAGTCTAAACGCAGCCATAGTGTCTCAATGATCCAAGAGGTATACAGCGAGCCACACTGAAACATAAAACTGAATCAAGTTAAAGTACATCAGGAAAAAAATATGCCCCCAAACACATTTATATTATTGGTGTAGCTGTGCCAATGCAATTTTCTGATGTAGACAAGCCCCGCATCTGAAGCAGACTCACTGATCTTCTTAAATAAAAAATTCCCTGTGGTGAAGCATGGGGACATTAAGATGACAACAATGTGTAAAAATCATTATTAAGTTGTATGTGCTGCAATTATTTACCATCATGTCAGACCTGAAAATTGTCCAATTTTTCTCAGTACCAAATTTAGGGCCACAATTTTATTTCACCCGTGTTATGCCTTGTGAGTCTATAGTATATAACCAATGTTAAGAGAGGATCAGAGGCTAAGATCTTAAAAAAAAAAAAGACAGGATTCAAACCTCTCCTTTTCTAATTTTCATATGCTGAATCCTATGCGTCTTCACGCATATATTTCCACAAGCTATGCTAACTATCTGTGATGGTGCTCTGCTTTGGTCAGGAAAGGGTTAATACAAGCTGCTGTCAACTCCACTCAACTGAACCTGCCCTATCAGTGTTATGCCTGGAAGGAGGAAAAGGGAGGGGAGAACACAGCTCGGTTGTGGGGCTGACCTCTGAGACAAGCCAGGGTGGGGCCAGGAACTGCTTGCAAGACTGCCTCCTGCCAGAGCCTCCCAGAAGGAAGACAGGCCTGATGACAGACTGTTTGCTACCCCTGTCTTGCTTGTTGCTGTGGGGAAAGGCTGTGACAGCCAAATAAACCCCTTTTGTTTCACCTTTTGCTGTTCCACCCACTATTCTTCACAGACAACATCTTCTTTAGGAAAGAAAAGCACCTTGCTTGCTATCCACTAATGCTCAGCTTCACTCACCTACAAATTTTTTGATTGCCTCCTTGGCGTCTACTGACTTTGGTTAGGCGCTTTTCTTCTTAAGGCAGTAGAGTGCAAGAAGGAGAGAGTGGCAGGTGGGAAGCACTCATGGGAGTGGTCATGGGCACAATTTTGTGGGCTGCAGGCAAGATTGCCTTCCAGAGATGAGATGTAGGGTGGGTTACATAGGCTCACATGCCATTTTCTCTCCGTCTCCCCTGATTTCTGTGAGCACTGAACTGCCCTTGCAGAGAAGGAAAGGATGGATGGGGGGGCTCTGTCCTTCCCACCCTGTTCCTGGCCCACAGCATGTTTTGTCTCACAGAGAGTAAAGGGAACTGTTCTCCTGTGCTCCAGAACCCTGCCTCAGCAGCTGCATGCTGTCTCCTAGGTTTTCTGTACAATGTTGAATACCCAAGGGGAAGGCAGGACACCAAAGGTACTAAATATAATTCTATGGGTTAACTTAATTTCATAAGGTGTTCATAGGAGACTGTAGGAGACTGTGTATCTGTCACAACCAGAATGGCCTCCTTTATAAATTCCAGCCTGCCTTTGCTCAGGCCACCTTCTTTCACTCAGGCTACACCCAGACTATGGAGTTTTTCCAGGATACCTCTGGTATCCCAGAAAAATCTACCACATCCAGGGAACTCCTCTGCTCTTCCAACATTTTTTTTTTTGCAGAAGAGCAGAAGCGCTCTTTCGGAAGTCCCAGTATTCATTGTTCTACAAGGAAGAACTCTTCCGAAAGAGGAGGTTTTTCTGAAATTTGGCCCACTGTAGATGGGCCAAATTTCAGAAAAGCCTCTCCTGAAAAAAATATCGTAAAAAGGTACGCACATCGCAGAGAGCAATTTGCATACCTTTTTCTGAGAAAACTCTGTAGACTAGACATAGCCTCACTAATCAATTATGCATCACTCAGGTATTTTAAAAGCAAACCTTGTCTGGAGAAATGGCGGACAAATAGTGTGAGCTATGCCTTACATGGCCTGTATACCCCTTACAGAGTTCAGTTTCTTTTTTAAAAAATCGTGGAAGAGCATTGCAACACTTTGGATATTTTAGTCATAGTTGCTCACTAAGGAAATGTTCTGACTAACCTTAAATCAATAGCACTGTTCACATTGACCCTAGAGGGAATCTAATTAGACCCTCATTGTTTTGGATGTGCTGTATGTCTGTCTACAAACAAGCTCTGTGGAAGATGATATGGATATATGGGTTGGTCTTATGGATATATTTAAGTTGTCATGACTTAAATTTTGCCTGTAACAATATTTTGTCCTATTTGCATCTGATTTGCTACTTGCATAGAACGCCTACTCACCTGATCTCTCCATCCCCCATCCCCATGTCTGAGAGGCAGGTTTTTCATGTGTTCTGTTTGTTTTTATTGATCACAGTGGCCTATTCTAGGGTCCACAGTGTTTCTAAATTAACCAGTCATACAGAAAGATACGAAACAAAATTATGCAATCAGTGCTAAATATTTCTGGTGTTTCTAGTGCAATGTATTGTACGTTTGTCAGTCTATATAACAATGTCATATATTACAAAAATAATCTGTAGTACACACAGAAGAGTAAATTGAGCAAATATTTCTTTTTTATTTAGATGTATTAAAAATATGCATTTATATTTCAAGTCAGAACATTTAAAAAACTAAACAAACTTTTCCAAATTTAACTCAACATGATTTTCATTAGGATTCAACATATACAGGTATAAAAGCCTGGGAAAATATTTTAAAGGAAGAACAATAAAACAGATGCAGATCGTGACCTGGAATCAGAATTTAGGAAGTACACGACACATTTTTATTCAGAAAATAAATTCATTGTTGAGTAATCAAAGTGAAGGATTTTACAACTCGCAATGACTTTCATTGCTTTTCTAAACCAGGGATAAAAGAAAGTGTAAATCAAAGGATTAATGGCAGAGTTGGAATAAGCAACCCAAACTGTAATGTCATAGACAAGGGCTGGAGTTATGAAGTTGAGGAAACCATCAATTACTACAGTTATAAAATAAGGTGACCAGAATACCAAAAAAGCTATCACAGCTATGCCTAGGGTTTTAGCAGCTTTTCTCTCTCTTTTGGCAACTCTTTCGCTATAATTATCAGATGACTGGGTGGTGTTGTTCATAATCTCTATCATTCTAGCTTGTTGTTTAACCACAGCAAATATCTTGCTGTAAAGTGCTATCATAATAAAGAAAGGTATTATCAACAGTAGAGAGGATATAACTACGCATGTTTTGTTGAAGACAAGCTGACAGCTCCCTACACAGGAGAGAGCAGTTACTGATTTTTCTTCTATCTCTTTGTCATTAGCCCCAATGTAAACTAAAGAAAAACTGAATATTAAAGAAAATGTCCAGGCAGCAGCTATGAACATGCCTGAAACAGGCACTGTGAACTTAACTGGATAAATTAAAGGGTAGTTGACAGCAACATATCGATCAACAGAAATGAAACACAAGTGAAATATTGATGCTTGACAGAATGATAGGTCCAAACAACAGTGAAATCTACAGAATGTTTCCCCAAAATACCAACATGTTTCAACAGATCTTACAGTGGTGAAGGGTAACACGGTCAGACCCAAACCAAAGTCAGTACACGCCAAGGAGGCAATCAAAAAATTTGTAGGTGAGTGAAGCTGTTTGAAATAAGCAATTGAAACAATTACCATTAGGTTTCCACATACAGTAAGAATCGTTAATAAACCAAGCAGAATATACAAGGTTACTCGGAGTCCAGAAGTTAATGGTGTCTTATAGCAAGATTCATTTACGTTTTCAAAGCAGTATTGCAAATCTTCCTTTTCCAGAAAAGTTGAGTTCATTATTTAACCTCAAAGTCTTATTTTTGAGTTCCTGAACTGACTTTTTTTTTATCAAGGAAAGGTAGAGTATACTCTTGTTTCTAATTTTTCCTGGAAAAAAAGATATGGGTATCAATAGAGTTACTGTATTGTTGTATTATTATGAACACAGAAATTAAGATTAATTCAGAAAGTTACAAAAATATAGAAATGTAAGATCTCAGAAGCAGCAGATTTTTTCTGGTGATTTAAAATAAGAAAAAAAAATTATTGAGATTATTGTATCTGGATTTATGAGTCATTCTTACTTGATTTTCGCCTGCTAATTCCTCATCTTCTGAGAAACTCCTTTTCATAAATTGGTTTGACAGAGCTATGAAGCGAACACTGGAAGAGGCTTGCAATTTACATTAGTGTTTTCTCCCCTGAGATTCTTGTGTTGGAGTTAATTTCAAAGCCTGTTCACTTCTTTCCCAAAGCAAAACGAATGAATCAGAACAGGACTCACTGATCTTTCCAGATAACGAAATTCTTGTATTGGAAGATGGGAACACTAAGTTGAAAATGAGGCATATAAAAAATGCTAAATTGTTTGTGAGGCAAAACAGTGACTTACTATCACAACTTCCAGTATCTATGGACTATTTGGCATAAATCAGGAAATCTCCTGTCCACCCACATTTAACTTGAGACTAGTCCACATTAGAAAATTAGGTCAGCATAAGTACATCACTCAGGGTTGTAAAATCTGTACATCCCTGTGAGGTGTAGGTAAGCTGACCTAAATCCCCATATACATACCACTACTTTGATTGACAGAATTCTTTAATTGGCCTATCTACCACCTGTCCTATGCTGATGGGAGAACCTGTTTCATTGACACAGGTAGTGTCTATATCTAAATGCTATGCCACTGTAGTGTATTAAGTGTAGACAGACCCTCATTCTCATGCCAGTCTGCAGCCCCCATCCTGCAAGCACTTATCCACATATGAAGCTTTTCTTACATAAGTAGCCCCGCTGAGTTAAACAGTCCTTCTATCTCAAGCCAAGTAAATCTCATGGTCTTTAGGCTTTATCCAAAATTTAGGGCATGTCTACACTATGGCTGCATCTAGCCTGGCAAGTTTTTCCACAAAAGCAGCTGCCAGCTGTTTACACTGGCCACTTGAATTTGCGCAAGAACATTGACGAACATCAGTGTTCTTGCGCAAATACAATGACTCTCCCGTTCGGGAAACAGCCCTCTTGCACAAATGCTTTTGCTCAGGAGGGCCAGTGTAGACAACTGAGAATTGTTTCGCGCAAAAAAGCCCCGATGGCGAAAATGGCGACTGGGGCTTTCTTGCGCAAAACCGCGTCTAGATTGGCACGGACGCTTTTCCACAAAAAGTGCTTTTGCACGAAAGCGTCCATGCCAATTTAGACACTCTTTTCCGCAAATGCCAGTCTAGACGTAGCCTATGAGATAAGGTTGAAACTAATATGGTCAATTTCTTATCACCCAGTTTTGCAAAGTCAAAGGTCCATGTCTTTACTGCAGGACTTCTCTATTGGGTAGCCTACTCTTGACTCAAAGAGCGAGGCACACAGCTCTGCTCTGCTCACAGTGTCTGCTGTGATCAAATCTCTGCAGCACATGGTTAGACAGGCTCATGTCACCAGCGTTCTATAAGGCATTTGTCTAGTCCCTCCCCCTTGCATGAGATAAAGGGGAGGCAATGTGCTTGTGCCTTGTGGTGCCCGGGTTGCCTGCACAGATGCGATAGTAGCACGAGCATGGAGCCCACTCTGCAGCAATCCATTGTGCTGGTGACATGTGTCATGGTGCACCTAATGGTGTAGTCCTTGGAGAGCATACGCACAGTGCTCCACCAGGAAGAGGACAAGATTGAAGCTCGGTGTGGCATGGAGGCCCTGCTCATGCAAGCCCTGCGCAGATGCTATCAAAGCCGCCTGTCATTCTTCTGGACACAGTGCTATTCTGGTCCTGGTGCCATGAGACAAGCTCAGACTGGCGAGTCTGATTGTGATGCAGATATGAGACAATCAGCAGTGGATGCGGAACTTCTGAATGTGCAAGGCCATGTTCCTGGAACTTTGTGAATGGCTTTCCTGTGCCCTAAGGTACCAGAATACCTGAAAGAAATCTGCTATAACCATGGACAAGTGCATGGCAATTGCCCCGTGGAAGCTTACAATGCCACTCAGGTGCGAATCAGTTCAGAGTGAGGAAATCTACAGTAGGGACTGTCATTATACAAGTAGTCAAAGTGATCAATAACATCCTTCCTCAACCTCTGAAATGGTCTCAGGAGCTGACTGGCTGCTCCAAGCAAGGACAGGATCCAAAGCCCTGGAGTGATCATTCTCTTCCAGCTGGGCTTTACTGAACTTCCCACTCCACAGCCCTCTCTACTTGCACACACCAACAACATCCTTCTTAAGGAGATGGTTATAGGCCTGCTGTTCCAAAGGGGCTGCAGACTCACAGGCTGGTGCTTGCCATGCCCCATAAATCCCAGGAAAAACATCTTTAGTGTGCCAGCCTCCTTGAGGGCCACACACCTGTGGGAGCTAGACTATAGGCCCCTCTGCCTCCTGGGACCACTTCCCACGGTCCAGAGGAGGAACCACTCATTCGGGTGACACCCCTTCTCAAGGACCACACTTAGGCTAGACCGTAGGCCCCTCCACTTCCTGGAACTGTTCCTCACTGGCCTTCAGCATGCCTGGTTCTTGTTAGCCCCGCTTCTTTCTACTGCGCCCCAAGCACTTACTGCTGGATGCTCTGTCCACGGAGTGCAGTCCATCTCACTGCTGCTATCAGTCTCACTGAGGAGTGGGGAACCACTGGGCCCTGCACCCCTATCCGCAGTCACATGTGACTTTCAGACAGCAGGCAGAATAGAAGGTTTATTAGTTCACAGTGATACAGCACAGAACAGACTTGTTAGCTCAGGAACCAGGAGCATTCCGTACAATCTATCTTGAGGAAAAGGGACCCAGAGTCCTGGGCCCTGCCCCCCATTTCACCCAAGCCAGCTAGGCTCACTCACACACCATACACTCAGCAGTCCAGCTTTCTCCTCCCGCCCCAGCTCCGCCTCCCCTTTGTTAGGGTTGCCAAGTGTCCAGTTTTGAACCGGACAGTCCAGTATTTGAGCTTTTTGTTCGGGAAACAAATTGAGAAAGTATAAATGAGAAAATATAAATGTCCAGTATTTTCTAAATAAGATGTAAAGTAGATTGTGATGTAATTCAAGTGTGTCCAATATTTTTGTTGAAACCATCTGGCAACCCTACCCTTTGTCCAGTTTCCTGGGCCAAAAGTATCATGTGGTCACACCTCCCTACCAGGCTCAGATTACAGTAAGCCTATCTATCAGTGAGTCACACCTAAAATTCCCACCTCCATTAGATAGTGGTGCAGTATACAGGGAAACTGAGACACACACGCATGGGGTTACTACAGGACAGTTGATAGCACATGCAATATAACAAAGCAAACAGAGAGAATGCAGTTCCCACTTCATCACACCTCCACACCCCAATTTCCGGCTCTGAGTCTCCCCACACACCAATCCACTGCCCTGAGCTTCCCCCCACCCCCAGCTCTCTGCCTTGAGGCCTCATCTCCCACAACCCCTTTCCTGATTCCTGCACTCCCCCATTCTCAGCCCCCCACAGCCCAACCTCCAGACTCCTGCACTCCCCACATCCTGAATCTCCTACTGCACCCACCGAGCAGCGTTCCCTATAAGCTGAGCACTTGGGTGATCACCTAGGAGACATTCAAATGCCACCCAGCTGATTAGCAGAGAACCCACAGCCAGCAGCATGTGTGTCTTCTGTAGGTGCACATCCACATATGCAGTGGTGCACATAACAAAATGCATTCCATATCTGGATAGCAAAAATAGCAGTAACACTGCCCTCACCTCTAACGTGGGGGTTGTGATCCAATAGTACCTGTAAGAAATTTAAGTTACTTTCATATCTATTTCTAAGCCTGCTGGTCCAACTTGTTTCTAGTTTTGGCCCTTCTTGTACTGGTCTTCCCATCTGTCCCTGGTTCTTACCTTTGTGCCTCACTCCACATCCCTGATTCTACATTTTACTCCAACCTTCACTCTGACTTCCCCCTCCATGCTTGTCCCCTCATTATGATCTTTGGTTTGATTGACTCCTGACTCCATCTCTGGATCTGACCTTTGGGTTGGCATCTGACTTTGATCAATGTTCCAGTCTAATCACTAGACATAATGGTCCATGAAGTAGTCCCTATAGAAACATAGACAGACAGGATTATTGTTCTGATGCAGACACATTCACACTTGGAAATGTTTAACCTAGAAGTAACCTAGAAGAATGTGAAGATAAAGATGACAAAACAACAAAGTTAGATAGCTATATTACTAATCGGATGAGCTATCCATTGCCTATAGAAACCTTTCATATCGATATATATTTTAGAATGAGTCTGCCTGTGACTCTGTTCAAGAACGCCTCCTGAACTGTAAGAACTAGGGCAGGAGTATTCAAAAGCCTTTCAGTGGGCTGGATCCAGCCCACCTAGGGCTTTGATATGGCCCACGAGGCATGCTATGGCCCTAATCTGTGGCATGCGTGCCATGGGGAAGAGCTCAGCCTTGCCCCTCCTCTGCCATGCAGCCGATGGAGAGTGCTCCCTCCTGCAGCAGGTTAGGCTGTGGTGGGAAGAGGCAGTGCTGGGGCTGAGGTTCCTCAGTGGTGCCTTGGCCATGTGGTCCAGGGCTGGCCATGAAGACTGGAGGTGCCACTGCCACAGCCACGCAGTCCAGGCCACATGGCTGTGGCAACGGCACCTCTGACCACTGGGGCTGGCCCCAGGCTGCGTGGCTGTGGTAGTGGGATCTCTAGCCTCTGGGGCTGGCCCTGGACTGAGTGGCTACAGCAGTGGTGCCTCCAGGGTCCGGCCTGGGGCTGCTTGGCTGCAGTGCCTCCGCTTAAAAAAAAGCCTCTCCAGCCTCTAGGGCTGG